AGAAACCCTGCCAGAAGTCATTAGAGAGCATATCACTACGATTCTGAACGGAAAAATGCGCGATGCATCCCAAAAAAGGACTAGTCATCGCCATACGCTTTATTCTTTACCCTTCTAACTTGTGTTACCCTTACCTTACCCACACGACCCAAGTACGCTTTACTATGGCTTTACCCATGTATTTACCTATAAATTCCTGATTAAGAATAATAAAAGTCAAATGCATGTCCCACTGTAGTGCTTTAATCGTGCCTGTGCTATTTGAAAAGAAGTAATGTAGCGTTTTGGCGTGTACCGCTTAGAAGGAGAGGGTGACCCGTAATAGACCTTTTTACAACTTCAGACGTCAAGCCCGAAGAGAGTTGATCCATTCACCCCAAGGCGGCTGTCACTTACATACAATTGTAGTCCTGGACCGAAAGCCGTGCCGATTAGGCAGCGTTCAGTTGTTATTTCACCAATGGGTGGTGCTGTCTGGGGAGAAGCATAGTGCCCTGGTGTGAACGCATAAACTGGGAACAAGGGCAATTCTGCTCTACAAGATTTATAATCAATTAACGAATGCAAACATTCCTTTACAAACATATCCGAACAGAAGTTATACATTTCTAACAAAATACCAATGAGGTGTTTTCTGACGACATCTAGCGTTCCATTCCGAGAAATCACAAAAGCATAACAAAATAAAAACAGATTCAATCAAGGCAATTTGGAAATCACTGTGATCAATACACCTTACTACTTCGTAAACTTTGTAAACAAAACAATCACTGAACTATATGCTATGATATGTTAAACATAATTAACCATAATCGTTTCAAGTGCCACAATGGAGTTTTGAGCACTTCAATTGTAGATTTACAGAAGCGGCCGTCAATTGTAAACCGTGTTTATATGTTGTAGTTTATCTGCGCAACAAACAAACAACTAAACAATGTCTTTTTGGGGACATCAAGGAAGCCCCCACAGATTAAATCTGCCCGAAATTAGATTGTAGGCAAATTATTTCACGCCTCAAGTATGGGTAGAGTCACTGGAAACACTGCAACCTTCTCACTGACGGGCGAGATTGCAAAAAGTTATGCGCACCAATTGAAAAGTCGTGGTAGTCCAACCGACGACACCCACACTTTCTTGGCGAAATGTGCCTCTTAGGCCTCAAATTGTAGCCGTTTCCGTATAAATACGACCCGTGGATATTTGGGTTGCTAACATAAGGCAAAGCTCACACTACGAAAATTGCTATAAGCTGAACGCTACTGCTGCCGGTTGACCGCTGCTTCAGTGGTTGTTGCCATTCGCCAATGCTCAGTGGCACGCACGGAGTTTGATTCTACCTGCTTCGCTTGTGCACTTCAGCAGCGGGGTCAACGATACAGCTGTGAGCGAGTAAGTAAGCCGAATCGGTGACTACCTATTTGAATCCTCTTACTCAATAAATGGTGACTTTATCGAATCAAAGTATCGTCATCACAGTACTACTACCATTCGCATCCGAGCTCACCACCACATTTCCATCCATCGGAGAAATCTGAAAGTTTCAAAGTTTCAAACGTCACTTCACGCAAGGCAACCGTTTTCATGATTCGTAAATCCAGAACAGTACAAGTAACTATTAGTATGCTTGAGTGTCGGGCAAGTTAACGCTTCAATTACAGTTCGAATTCCGTGCCATTGCGCAGCCTAATTCATGCAACCTTGCATATTGCCCAAGCACGGTCTTTGAAAAATGGCGCGACCTCGACCAGAGACCAAGGGGGGGGGTGAATAAAGCATACGTTATACGCAGTGACGATTCGCAAATATTAGGTCGTGAAGAAAGTTCTTGCGCTTTTCGACCTTGATTTTCAAATGCCTGTATCTCGGCTCATTCGAAACCTTTTTGATTGGAGTAAAGACTGTTAGAATCCACAAAACCTCTGCCAATAATAGCTGCGTTGAATCAGCCCGGTAGTGCAGAATACTGGAGCTCTAGAGACGATGAACCGGCGGCGGAGGTCGTTTCCGCATCATGTTGGTTTTTGAAGCATAACTCTTTGGAGAAGCTATCCAGGTAGTCGAGAAAGTGACAAATTATAGGCAAAAGGTCTACCGAGTAGGATGTTGCAGGACTAATTCGTAGCCAATCTTGTCCAACTTCTGCAGGGTTGGTTGTGGAATGTGCGTCCGAGCTACCTGTCAGGGACGAGCCGGTTCCTTTATAATGAGGAATTTCGAGCATATGTGCCAGAGTTCTAGGAGTAGTTTGACACATTATAAGAGTACTTTTTCCACATTAACAGATCCACCTGGTTACGAAAAGCTAGACCAGCCGCTGACCTTATGAAAGTCACCTCAACCTTCCTTCAGTGAAGTTTCACTTTTGCAAAGTTTGTAGAGCCTGATCGCGGTCGATCACTTCACCAAAGGTTCGTGTTCTGTAGCAAGTCAGTCTTTGTCGTGCCGTCGCAAATGAACAAAAAGTCAGGTCCTTTCATGGCATGAAACAAGCTAGAACGCGGCGAACGACCCTTCAAAATGGTGAGCTGTCGCGGCACGCCCTATTTGAATTTTTGGGACTTTCCAGCTCTTCCCGTACAACAAGAAAACACAATGCAAGTGCGATTAGTTTAGGAGGAACCCTCTCAATAGATTTGTGCAAACGTGCTTCAACCAGAACGTTCGACTAATCGTTGGCGTTGTCCAATCTCCGATCACCACCCTCACAATCTTTAGGGCTCTCGCTATTCTTACAAAAGCTTTTTGAACAATTGCTTCAGACCATATTTATTGCGAATCTCAGCCAAGTGCGTCTATAATATCTTGACCTGCTCCCTCTCCATACTGGCCTGCTTTGAGCTAGAAAAAGGAAATCATGCAAATTTGCTCTTGGAGTATGCCGTATTCAAGGCTTCAAAAAATGACAACTAAGAAATAAATAAGGTAACTAGCCTAGCTGTTAGATAGAACAAGAAAAGCTCTTCAAAACCACATACAGCTCATTGGCAGCTTGCTTGAATTCGTAACAAAATAAAGCGTTCAAAAACGAAACACCGAAAAGCGCAAGAACTTTCTTCACGACCTAATAATAGCAGTCGCGTTTTTGCGGCGTTCGCAATAGCTAACAACATTGCTTCATTTGTGTGCATTTGATCGAAATCGAATAATGCGGTACAGAAAAGGGAGTTGCAAAAATAAACAAAAATGGGAAACAAAATCAGGAAATTAGCAGTTACGTAAATATTGTGATACTAACGATGTCTCAGCAACAGCAACAATGCCTTACAACAGGAATTTTGTGCCTTTTTAACTGTGGCATTTTATAATGCAGAAAAATGAAAGATTGGTTCGAAAACTTACTCCCGATACCACCGGGGAGGCAATACTATTCGACAAAGAAGTCGGTGATGACAAATGTGCCTGCAGGCTATCTGGTGCCGCGCTTTGAGTGCTGACATCGTCGAGAATGAACTCGGATAATAACGAGTCAACCTGAAAAGGTAAAATTTGGAATAATGCACTCTAAGAGGAATGCTCGCAGTTTTCGGAAACGAATAACATACTTCTGCCAATCCGAAGAATTTTGTAAGCGTCATGTTCTCAATCAGCAACTGTGTGAGAGCCTTCAAGGCTGGCGCCAGAAGTAAAATATTACCATATCTGAAATGACCATCTCCAGCAAAAAAAACAAACTTTTTTGTACCAAATACAGAGAAATTGTTCTGAAAGGCCGAGATGTAATGGTAGCCCCGCCCAACTAGGCTGGTTTTTTTGAAAGATGACAGATTTCACTCATTCAATGCATGAATCGGAGGTCGAGGTGATATGACATTGTAGAGAATGTCAATTTCTCACCTGGTCGGTGCTTCTTCGCGGTTGTTCTCCAAAATGAACGCATAAAGCGATTTTAACACTCGGTTACGAGCCTCTCGCACTTGTGTTTGACTTGACTGCGTAAGTCCTTTTGCCTCAGGATGAAGAAAAGCCAAAGCCTGCAACATCCAAGAGTAATGACATCACCTGCACTGACAATAACTCGCTCAATTTTTCCGTACTCATTTGCTAGTCCTTAGAATCCTGAGAATTTCTCCTTTTCAAGCAATTCATTGTATGGCCTTGATTAGGCTTATTCCACTTATCCCATACAGTGGCTATGTCACTCGAGCACAGCTTTCGTAGCACGCCTAATAAATCCTAATAAGCAAAACATGAATCTTTCTGAGCTCGTTATCTTTTCTTCTATCATTCCGACAAAGCTAAGTGTTCTTCTTAGAAACGACCCATTCTTTATGCTGTGTTGAGGGATACGAAGAATCAAAGATTCTCCAATAAAATCGAGCAAGAAGATAAATTCATAACGATGGGTAATAGGACGAAGAAAGAAGGTTACAGAAAGAAAAAGTAATTAGGGAATGGTTAAAAACACCACTCACTTTGAGACAAACGAATTCCTCTTCTCGCATTTGTAACTGGCGCATTGGCCACACAATCTCGTCGAGTACCCTTAAAAACAAAACATCATCGGGGTTTGGGATAATGAAGACCGAACAGATATGTTAAGGGACTGAATAGTTGCTTCATGTCTATCTCATTTCAGAAAATTCATGGCACTGAGGATCGGGTCCGAAACTTAAAACAGTTCCAAGAAGCTCTTGGCGAAAAAAGAGGCAAAAAGCGTGAGGAGTAGCGAAGTAAAAGTAGATATTTTGTAAGATGTTGTGTAAAAGGGTTGAGGTGGTACCAGTGACAAGTGGCGTCGTTAGCACGCGCACGATCTGGGGTTCAAATATTGGATCGCACGACGTCCAAGCCGACCTCCCTGCATCCCACTGAGGTCGATTGATTTCCACCGGATTTTCCTGGCAGATAAAAACAATGGCTTAATCATCTAAACCACCAATCTGTTGGGATAGATTGATATGCATGCGGCTGGCATTGTGTGGCTAGTGGAAAAAAGCGCGGTGGGGTAAAAAATGTAGTTCGGGGGGGGGCACTCTATCTAATCGAAGTGAAGCTGCGGAAAGACACTCATATCTAATCAAAGTAGAGTTGCGGGAAGGCACTTATATCTTATCATATCTTTCACTAAGACCGTGGCCACTGGACTAGTACGCTTACCCTTGTCATATTGGTCTAGGGCTAAAATGGCTGCTACCCTGCTGGCTCCTTACTTTCATCAAACCTTCTTGCGACTGCCATGCAAACCCTCGAAGAAAGGGCCTCCCAGGTATCCGATTTTGTATGGCACGGATTGGTATCCCTATCTAATCATACACTCAGAGACTGTGCTCCGGATGGTGATTAGATATGACCGCCCTACCGCAGCTCCACTTCGATTAGATATTGCCAGTTCGATTAGATATTATGAGTGGCCCCCCAAACTACATTTTCACCGTGGGTGGCGCATACCAAAGAAATTGATCCCAAGTTATTAGAATGTCAGCCACCAATACTCGGCCGATACTTACCTTGGTGTTATATTGCTCGTCTTAAACGCTGCAAATCCATTCAGCTCACTTGATTGATCTCGGCTCATATAGGTGTTGTTGAACAGACATACACGTGTCGTATCAGGGCTTCTAAAAGCAAGAATTCTTAGGAAATAGAAAACACTCTCCGTTCTCACAATAACCTCCAAAAATAAAACAAACAGACCATAGGAATAAATGATTGAATTTGAAAAAAGAATGATTACCTGAAAGCTGGCATCAAAATCAGATGTTGAGGGGCGTAGTTTTTCAGAAGAATGATCTTGTCCTCCATAATCAGATTCGGGAACGGTTGAAGCGCTTTAGCCCACTCCACCATCAATAACAACGTTGTTCGAGATATCTCATTTAGATCCTGAACATTTGATAGTATCTCACAATGAAACATTCGAAAAAATTGGTTCTAGAAAGTACATCGCGCAATCATTTGCGTACTTGAAGCAGCAACATCAACTGATGGCTTCCGGCGCCGGCGGAGCCATCAGTTTCCTCATATTATCATTCAGCAATAGCAGTGTAGTTTGTTGGTAGGAGCTATCAGTGAACGAATCGCTTGCAGCTTTACCGAACTCCGAAAGTTGCCTCTCAAGTTGCAATGCTGGCATGGACGTCGGCATCTCTGGTTCTACGCGTCTGAGGTGTGTGGTTTACTTGAAACCCACTCCTTGCTACCACCAACAAAGTAGTCGGGTCAAACAAGATACAGCGGTAAATCAAAATGTTCATGCAAAATCTGAAGGCTTCTGAGGGCGGTTGTCACCCAGATCACGAAATCCCTTTTGCCATAATTTCTCTTCTTTTTGAGGAGCTATTGAGGAATGGCTATTGTGTTCTGATAACTGTGGAAAAGCTGTGTCAGTTACCGTGCATTGCACCAGAGACTGTTTCCAAACAACTCCAGAAGACACTCGTCACTCAGGGTAACAAGCCGACCGACTTTGGGCTTTTTTCTTCGAGTTTCTGGACATCGGCAACCAAATGTTTGCCATGTCGTGAAAGACACTCTGGAGGTCCATCGCAAGACGTAGGCTCTTGCCGCATCGCTTCCACTGACGCGTTTTCTGGGTTTTAGAATCAAGAGTAGCCAAATATGCTTTCAGTCAAAGTCGATTTTCTCAGCCATAATCGCTGCGAAATACCACGGCAGAAATGCTCTGAAGAGATCATTGACTAGGGTTTACATATGTTTTACAATGGATGGTCAAAAATTATCCTGAAATTCGGCAACATACACATGGAAATGGGCAAAGACTTTCGGGACAACCTAGTTTACACCCTGCTGAATGATTCTAGTAAACTGAAGTAGCGTTTGGGCAGATTTTCCTGCATGGCTTTCGCCTTTTCCGGACTCTGGAAAAGGTGAAACCATTGAAACGTCGCCCTAATACTCATCTTCTACGCTTTTCTTGAACGCGCATCAGACAGAAAAACAAATCGTAATGGGTAAAATTTAAAAAAGCTGAAGAAAAAAGAAACTTATCACTGACTTCAGCGGTACATGGCTTATTCGGCTGTGAAAAGGCTGAAGTCGACGGTTCACCGCCAATACTCGTCGTATTTGCTGGTTGAATCACGGTGTTACGGTAACGAGCACACATTTCCTAAATAGTGACAGAATACAACCAAAGAAATGTAAGCTTGGATTCAGCCAAGCCCGTTCGAAGCTTCTGTGACCACGCCCCATCGAAAATCAAGCATTGCTTTAATTTTAGTGTACACATAAAATGGGTTAATCGAGCGATAAGAGCTCGAAGAAATGCGAAAATCATTTTAATACCACAGAGGAAGAAAGTAAATGACAACATGATGCACTAAAAAAAGCTCTTCAATAAGAAGATCATTTTCCTCAGAAATTTTATTTGGCCTACGGTGGACGGTACGGACACGGATCAATAGAAGCACGAAAAAGCATTCACAAACAGAATCAGCAAGAAATTTCGAAGTACAATCCCCTCCGACATCCACGACCTCCTCTTCCCAACTTTCACGGACTCCGAACGGCGACTCGGGGTAGGGACAACGAAGCGGTTAGAACTCTTGAATAATCTGGATGAAGTCATGAAATTCATTGAAATTTTGAAAAAATCTTTGGGAATTCCTTCCAAGCTAGCTCCGCTAGTATGGCTCTCCTCCCGAACAAAAACTTCTCTAATTCTGCCTTGCCCTAGCCTCTAGCACCTTCTCTCCTTT